ATATATATTGAGCATGAATTATATATATGGATAATATTGAATTATCATTGAATTGATGGAACAGCAACACTTAAATAGCATCTAAGTTAAATTTATTAAACGCTTTAATTTTAAGCGTTTCAATATGCTGGGTCTATATGAATATATAATTAGTAAACAAAACAGCAACAAATATATATATATTATAAAATAGCAACAAGGCAAGAGCTGCAAAAATCCCAGACAAAAAACTCGATTGCATATAACAGAAAAATAATGTTTAAATAAGTATTTTAGTGTTAATTATACAATTTACAAGTACACAACACGAAAAGAAAAATAAAAAAACAAGAAACAACAATATAATATAAAATGAAATAAAGTTTTAAAACAATATTTGTAAAAAGTAAAGATGAGTGTTTATTTTTCATTCAAATAATTTAAATTTACACCGACTATAACATCTGACTTGACTAACAATTCTATTATTTATCCAACTATAATAATATGAGAGCCTATTTGGTGATTTCATATATAGTTTTAGCCACGTATAGAAGACAAAATCTTAATTTTTAATTTAATTTAATTTAATTTCCCCTTATCGTTATACCTTGAACTCATTTTTAATAGGAAATCAGGGTATAATGCTTTTGTTAAAAGGATAAAACAGGCAGAAGAAAGTGTGGCAGACCCGACGAGATGAGTCGATTTAGTCCTGTCCGTCTGGCCGTCCGTCCGCAAATATGAACGCATCGGTCTTAGATGATATAAGAGCTAAAGACTTGAAATTTTTTCCTAGGTCCGTGTATATCCCACGCATATCGAGCTTTTCTCTCAGACATTTTGTTATAAATTAGTTATTTAATTATATTTCCTACACCTTTGGAGCTAGATTTTTAAAATTTTTACATAATAAGTCATACATATGCATATGTATTTTATAGAATTTTGATTTTTGTTGCAGTTTACCCCTACATCCACCCCCTCAACCTGCAATTTGTAAAAGGCGTATTTCAATTACTTACGATCATGCGTGCATGCCTATGTGTGTGTGTTTTTTTTTTTGTAAGCAGAAAGATGCGAAGAATTATTGAAATACCCATTCTTCGAAGGGTTCATCGGATTTCGTAGTCGAGCTTTCTTACTTGTTACCACTTTTTATACCCTGAACACATTTTATTTTTCTATTTTTCTATTCTTGATCAGGGTGACGAGCTGAGTCGATTTAGCTCTGTCCGTCGGTCCGTATGTCTGAACGCGTCGATCTCAGAAGATATGTATAAGAGTTAAAGACTTAAAATTTTTTCCTAGGTCCGTGTATAGCATGCGCTTATCGAGTTTTGCTTTAAATATCGATAACTTGCATTTTATTTTGTTATCGATTAAAAACATCGAAAACCAGTAATAAATTTATATCTGCTACATATTTAATGCTAGAGTCTCCAAATTTGTTATGTGTACTTATATGCATTTTATACAATTTCGGTTTTTGTCAAAATTTACCCCACCTCTAATTCACCCCCTCACCATCACTTTCAAATACTAGGGACTTGTGCTCTGGCAAATACATGCAAATCTATGTTATATTCATAATCTGAAAGTTTCATGAAGATAGCCATCCAGAAGAATAAGTAATAAGTTATTAAGCAATTATGTTCCTATAGTAAGCCAACACTGCAATCAATGCGTGTTTATGCGTGCGTACGTTTGTCTGGGTGTGTGCGTGTATGTGTGCATATGCGAATAATTATTGAAATATCAGTTGCTCAAAGGGTTCAGGGGATCTCGTAGTCGAACAAACTCGACTAGAGATTTCTCACTTGTATAAAGTAGATATTTGTGTTGGATATACATATATTCTATACTATTGCCCCTATATCCTTAAGAAAGTTTTATGCATTGACATCGAAGCTATCTATGAAAATTGAAGTTAATGCAATAATATTTTTCAGTCTAAGCGCAGTCGCTATGTATATTTTAGGTATTTTTATTTTCAATTGGTGAATTATTTTAAAAATCTCAATGTTATAAATATAATTTTAAAATGTATAATCTACATAAATCAAATTCTTTTAAATATACGGAAAATCTCTCTCTTAGAAAATTCTGATTGCATAAAATCATTTTAAATAAGATCATTAAATAATAATAATAATAATACAAAAAATAAGATGGGCTATTTATCATCTGTATAAAGTTTTATTTTAATATTTCAATTGATATATATATATTTTTTATTTAAAGAAATAAAAAATTCAAGATATTTAAAGATAGTTTCTTTAACATTTAAAAACTTACATTTATAATGCTTTGAGATTTAATAAAATACAATTTTAATTCCTGAGTAAACCAAATGTTTATAACTAAAAAA